GGAGCAGGCGGGGATCGAACTCATGCAGAAGTGGCTTAAGCTTCTTAGTGCTGTGCTTTAACCCGCTGTGCCACCAGGGAGAGCCTTTCTTTTAAAATTTTATACCAGCTCCACTCCAGCATATTTCAATATGCTTTCAATAATGGTTAGAAAATTGAAGAAGCTGGGGTCCCAGTAGTGGTCAGAGATTCAAAAATTAGATGATATGCATCTTACAGATTTAGACATTGAAATAGAAGCTTTCTTTCACACTTCTCTTTAACCTCATATTCAAGGCAGTGTTTATAGTACTTTATAGAACAAACTGTTCAAATTGGAACATGGTGCTCCTCTAGATAGAAATAATGAAGTGGTCAAGAAATAATGAAGTGGTCAAGAAATAATGAAGTGGTCAAGAAATAATGAAGTGGTCAGGATCATTTCCCCCTGGAGTCAGATAGCGTGACCTCATGATCCAGCCAGTGGTCACTTGCCATTCAGCTGGTACAGACCTGCAGGATGAGATGTATTTTCTGGACCAGCAGTGGGGTTATTTATGATTTCTAGCAACTTACTCTCAACTACGGATGACCTTGGTTGACACTGTTTCCTGACCTCTTTTCTTGAGGTCCCTTTTGGGCTTTCCTCTCCAGGCCTTTGCTTTCGGGGTTTTCCATATCTGGTTGGGGCTGTGTCTGTCCCAGCAAGCTGCTGCACATTCGGAAGTGGGGGGGACCTTTTGTACCTGCATTCCTTGCATCATTGCTGTGCTTCAGTTTCCCCTCCTGTGAATGTTAATCTGGTTTCCCATTTGAAGTATTATTTTGTTTTAAGAGGAGGATGGGATTAATTTCTGTTTCAAGTTTCTCCAAACTCTACCCACAATTCTGAAAAGGAAGTTGTATATCAGACTGGAGTGCTAGGTAAAGAAAAAAACTGACTGAAATTGCCTAATGAGGAAGTCCTAATCTTGAAAAGATTGCTAAATAGATGTCCTAAACTGCTCTTTCTTTAATATACATCCTTCCCTTCAGGCAGATGAACTCACACCTCAATTTGGCTTGGCTCCTATCCTGCTTGTTTTTCCAACCTGAGTGCCCCTTTCTCCCCCTCTTCCTCCCAGATAGAGACTTAAAGAGAAACATTGCAGTGTGATAAGCCACACGCCACACTTCCACCACAAAGCAGTCTAAGAGGAACTGCCTCTGTTTTGTTACCAGAGTGACGAAGCAGGTTAAGAAATTCCTACTGTCCCTGTACATTTGGTATCTTCTAAATGACTTTCTTCAATGACTTTGGACCTGGTACTTCCCCCCAACCCCCATTTTCCCAGCTGCCCTGTGGATAAAGTTGGCAGGATTTTGCAAAGTGCATTCACTTCCTCCCCAATCTAGGAAAACCTGTCTTTGTACAGAGGCAGCTTCTTGTTTCTGATTTCTGCTTCCCTTGGCCACCCTTCACCCAACACACAGGTGCCAGCCAGGGCTAGATGTAGTTAGGAAGCTATGACATTAAAGAATTCATCCTCCCTTTCTGAGTGTCCCCAGTAAACTCAAGATGGATACATCGTCATGCTGTCAAAGTTTGGACCCAGAAACTACATACCTACATTTCCGATAGCTCTTCCATATCCTTTCACTTGGTTTCACATGATAGAGAAGAAACCAAGCCCTTGGAGTCATCCACAGGCAAGGGGATTTGTACCAAGGGCTTTACTTTAGAGCCAGATACACCTCAGTTTGAACTCTACCTTTGCTTCTCACCATGCTAGGGGTGTGGGTGTAGAAGGGATTTAGAAGTTCTGCAAAATGGCAATGAGGTCAAGTCAGTAAAACCATAGGATGGTGTCTGGCTTGGTAATTGTTTAGCTATTGTAATTATCATCATTGTTTCCATCTGTCATTGAACACTAAAATATGATTATAAGGACAACATGAATGTTTAACTTGTTAAATTCTTTGAGGGTTAAGGATAAGAACTATTGGTTGGAGTTACAGGCAATATTGTAGCACCTTACACACCAATGTTACACTAAGAATGGCTACTGTGGAATTGTGGCCACTTCTCCTGTACTCTTCTGTGTGTGCCCCTCATACTTCAGGACTGTCTGTGCAAAGGGGTGTGGACTCTGCCCACTCTGTAGGAACTCTCCTGCTTCCTTTGCAACATCCAGGGCCATCCATGGTAGGTGGGGGCGGCAGTGAGGCTCCTGGCCCTTCTCCCTGGAAAGCAGTTGTATGGGAGCTGCAACTTTGCCATGTGTCTAAACTCATGTCAATGTTTGGAGACACTCTTGACGCCCCTGTTGCCCTCCGATCTGCCTGCCAGCCCTGTGGGCCAGACCCTCTGCTGGTTGCTTTGTTTCTGTGTCAGGGAATGACTGGAATTGAAGCTGCACTTTCAAAGGCCTGAATGCACTGCAGGACCATTTGGTCTGCATAGACCCACTGCTGTTTACAGAGGGGATGTTCCTCCGGCACAACCACAGGAGTGCAGATGAGCTGCACTGCCCAGAGTTTGACTGTTGTGTTTGTGTGACTTTGGGCATATTGCCTTTGGTAGAGTGGAAAAAATTACATTGCCTCCCTCAGGGCTGTTGTGAGGAGTTAATGGCCGTAATATAAAGGTTGAGACAGGGCCAATGCCACCTAGACGGTTTACGGTTACTGCTATTGCCTATGATGACATCTTGGATTATTCCTGGACCTGGCCTGGCATTGACCTCTGGTCTGATGACCCTGAACTTTGAACAGTAACACTGCGATGTATAAGCCATGAGATAGCATTCTTGGGCCTGCCCAGCTGTCAGTGGGTATGGACAGGAGGCTGCTGAGCCATTAAAGTTGTCCTCAGTTTAGGGCCACCAGAAATTTGTCTCTGTATCATTAGAGAGAGGCTTATCTGAAGCTGTACCCTTTTACCTTCTGTGGAGCCTCAAACATTACAGTGGAGCTGACCAAGCCTCCTCAGCAGCACTCTGACTCCTCCAGATTATAGGACTCCAGATCAGAAACTCAGGTTGGGGTGTGGCCTGGGGCCCTGCTGGGATGCAATGTATCAAGCCTGGAAGCTGCAGGTTAACAAATACACATAGTCTTGCCTTTGGTGCTTATGATTTGGACATTTTCATTTCCAAACTTCAGATGGGGCTATAAGGGGCAAAATTTGAGTCCTTACACTAACAGGGAAGCCTGACTATGTCACTAGGATCAGAGAAGGCCTCTGGGGGTGGGAGGGAGGCCTAAAAGATTGGTAAGAACTTATCAAAATGCAGAGTAGGATAAGAAGCTATAGGGCCTATGTGAATGGGTTCCAGTCAGGGAAGGGTGAGTTGGAGCACTGAAGAAGGTAGTTGAGATTACAAGGAATGAGGAGGCATCAGTGCAATGAAGAGGTGAGTAAAGGCCAGATCACATGGGACTTTGGAAGGCGATGGGGTTTGGTTCTCACGGGAAGTCATATGGAAAGGTTTTAAGCAGGGTAGTAACAGACATTGGCTCAGAGTATAAAGTAGATGGAAGAGGTGAAGGTAGAATTGGGGCTTGTCTATGCAAGAGGTGGTGGCTGCGTGGCGGGGCAGAGCGGTGCTAGGATGGACATGACTTTCTTGTGAGGTGAGGGGAACAAGAGGTGAAGGTCAGTAATGAACCCCAGTTCCAGGGAAGTTGTCACAGGTTTGGAAATGCAACATTTCTGACTTCCAAAATGTCTTTTTCTCCATCTTCACCATGCTCTAGAGAGAAAAGTAAACCAGTTTTTCTAAATTTAATTTTTAGGCTTGTCAGATTCCTGTGAAATGGTCTTTAACAGTTTGTACAGATCTAACAGATTCTTTTCTGTGGAAGGGCTGAGTGAGTTTCTGTGACACAGAAACTCTGCCATATATGTGACTGTAGGTCTCCATTCTTGTTTCCCATCCTTTCCAGGTTGACCAGTACCTCTACCATATGCGCCTTTCTGATGAGCAGCTTCTGGACATCTCGAAACGGTTCCGCAAGGAGATGGAGAAGGGGCTGGGAGCCACCACCCACCCCACTGCTTCAGTGAAAATGCTGCCCACCTTTGTGAGGTCCACTCCAGATGGGACAGGTACTATGCCTGGGGGTTGGGTTTGGCTTTAGGTGCTCCATGGCTGTGGGGGAGATTTGGGTGGCTCTGCTCAGGGACCCAAAGAGGGATATGTCAGTGAAGGTTTTTTAGTTTGAAAATCTGAGGAACTAACCCTGTCACCCATTTTTTCCATCTGTGTGCCTGAGAAAAGCTGCTTGGTTCAGTCTGGGATTTTTTTGGTCCTAGCAAATGTACCTAAGATGGTCACAGCCACAGGGCATGTCAGTTCCTGTTTGGACCACCTAACTGGCTGGTTCCGCAGACATACTTGAGAAACAGTGTGGTACAGATCGTTCTAGGTTGTTTCTTGGGCCCCATAAGGCTTCCATAAAGAGAATGAGGAGTCCAAATATGGGAGTGTGTGAAGAGCAGCTGTGCACATTAAGGTATTAAAGACTCTGGAGTTGTGCATTAAGAGTCTGTTAGGTTTGGACACAGCGTGCTTATTTCTCAGCATACCCTGCAAATCATTTAATCAAATCAGAGAAAAGGGCCAAGATGGGGCACTGAAATTGAAGAATGGGTTGGGATTTGATCATAGAAGGCCTTGCATGCAAGCCTAAAACATAGTTTTCTGCAGTAAGCATTGGGAAGTAACTGGAAAATTCTGAGAGGTGCGAGCAGAACTGTCTTGGAAATGCACACCATCAGCAGGATATGTGGCATGGAGGGGGTAGTGATGGCTGTTGGCAGGACACAGGACGGGATCCTGGTGAGATACAGTGGCCAGGGCAGGGAGCGACGACTGTGATGCCAGGGTGCTGAATCCGGCTCCCTGGGAGGGGGGTTTGGTGGTGGTAACGTCTTTAGAGAAGGGAAAGGAACTAAGTTGTGTCAGCATTGTCACATAGCTTGACTTGTTTAAATCTCACACAACCTCCATTTTAGAAATGAGAGGTACCTTGAGAGGGCCTTGAGAGGTGGGGGGTGGGGGGAGCTACCACATCTAGAGGTGTGACAAAAGAGTTACAAGGGGCAGTTTCAGGGCAGTGAAAGAATCTGGAAACAGAGTCTGAGAGCCTGAGACAGCCAAGAACACCAAGAAGCCTGAAGGTGCTGAGCTGGTGAAGAGCTGCAGAGAACTCATGGCCTGGGGGAAGGGGAGGCACCAGAAAGCCTTGCTCAGGCCCTACCTGCCTTGGTCTTTGCAGCATTATCTGTGTGCTTGAGCCTTACTGAGCAGGAACCTCTAAGAGCCTGTTCTATCCTAAGGAGACTTGACATCTTTCTAAGATAGAGTCCTAAGATAAGCCTGTGTTTGCTAAAGTCTGGCCACTCAGACTAAAGTCAGCCTGGACCCAGAGAGTGTGACCTTGCTCCGGATTGCTCACTGAGTGTGTGAGTCTCAGCTCTTCGAGCTGAGTGAAGGGCCTGAGTCCAATCCTATGTACATTTACCGTTCCTGTCATTCCCTCTGACTGGCCACGCCAACTTCTGTTGTTCCCCCTTGACATTCAGATAAATTTATTAGCTTCTCAAGGCCAGGGACTTTGTCTGTATTTCATGCACCAGCAATGAAACAAGTACCCTAAATATTTACTAAATACAGGTGGACTAAAAGCTTTCCTGAGCATCTAAGCTTAGTAACTCATTGACTTTTCACAAAACTCTCTAAGGGAGGTGTAGATTTTAGCTACATTTTTTTTAAAGATGGAGAACTTGAAGCTTGATTGGTCAAATACTTACCTAAGGCCATGCAGCTCATGAGAGACTGAGTCAGGATTTGTGCTCACTTATGCCAAAGGCCGGGTGGCAAGGTTGCTCTGGCATTGCAGCTGGTGTGTGCCACATGCAGCATGTGCTCAGCTGAACTGTTTTGAAATGGGGTTTTGGGGCTGAATGTCTGGCCGTATTATATGGGTTGGTTGTTTGTTGGGGAGAACTGGCTATGGGGTAGGTGTTTCCCTCTTCCTACCCTCCTGAGGTCAGAGGCACTGAGCTCCCCCTCGGCTCTTGATGTTTGCTCCCTCTTGTTGAGCCTCCTTCCCTGCCTTGAGGCCAGAGCCCTGGGAGCACTTGCATTCCATCTCTGCCCATGCACACGCAGGTAAGGCTTTTGGCCTCTGAATGTGAGTTCAGAACCAGAGGCTGACTCCTGCAGAACCAGAACCAGAGGCTGACACCTGCAGTTTCTGGCATAAAAGGATCTGGGGCCCAACTTGACCCCTTTTCTCTTCCTACAGTTTTATGATGCCCAGGGTGCCTCAAATTCTACTGTGTAAATGGTGACAATGTAGAAAAGGAATAGCATGTATTGGGATGGTTTACTCACTGCACTTCCTCATTTGTGAAAGGAAACCTCAAGGGTTGTCTTAACTGAGACTGTAGGGGAGAATCTAATGGATGACCTTTTCATGTGTAGTGAAAGTAGAGCTCCACGGCTCCTGGGTGCACCGCTGCAAGAGGCAGCCCTGCAGCTGTTTTACTGAGAGGGCAAGTAAGCCTCCCAGGTCCTTTCTTTTGGAGAGAGCCAGCATGAGAGTTTACTCCCATCAGCCAGAGGCCCTGCATTATGGAGTGAGGACTGGGTCTCAGCTCTCTTCTCCACACACCTCACCTGTCTAATGTTAAAATCCTGGTAGAAAATGGAGAGAGACTAAAGGAGGTTTCAGGTCTCCCACTTACGACAGAGCCTCCATTATATCGAAGAAAAATCACCTCCAAGTCATGATTTGCGTTTTCTCCACTGAGTCCCAGGGAGCTGATTCTAAAATATCTGCACTTCATAGATGTGTGGACAATGGAGTATGAAGAAAGGTGATTGGCATAGAGACAAATGAAATTATATAATTGGTCCATATATATATGGTTCAGATGACTACATCAGATGACTACATCAGGTGACTACATTTGGTTTCTGCCAGGGTATGTTAACAAATGCCCTGGATTTTGTTTCCAATTCACAAAAATTTAAAGAAATGTATAATGAACATGCAGACAGGCTATGTAGGTTCTACATTGTATTTTACTTGACTGGCTTTATCATACTCTGGCCATCCATCAGCCCATCTTGTTTTACCTGAAGCAATTACCAAGTAAATTGCAGAAACCAGTTTATTCCAACCCTAAAACTTCAGTATGTAGCTTATTGAGTCCTGTTTTTACTTTTTTCTTTAAAATTTATGAACAATGTGGCCCTCCCTGGTGGCGCAGCGGGTTAAAGCACTGCACTGAGAAGCTAAAGCCACTCCGCATGAGTTCGATCCCCGCCTGCCCCGGAGGTGACCACATGGCGTGGCAGACCTCTCCTGACCCGCCCGCTGCTCCCCTCAGCAGTGTACTTCGTAGATCTGCCTGTTCTGCTCCCCACTCTGTCTCTGGTGAAGCCTCTCACCGCCCCTGAGTTCTCTGGCCTGTACCCCACTTCTGTATGTACAAATAAATAAATCTTTAAAAAAAAAATTTATGAACAATGAGATGGCAAATCTTCAGTATCATCTGATGAGTAGACAAAGACATACACCTGTTTAATAGAACCCCACCAAGATAAAGAACATTATCCTTCGTCCAGAAGTTCCCTCTTGCCCCTTCCCAGGAAATACCTGTCCCTCATCCTTAGTGGGGTGGGGTTGGGGGTCTGTTTTAAAATTTTTATGGGTGTTAGTTTTGCTTGTTCTAGAACTTCCCATAAATACCATTTTATAACATTTCCCTTTCATACAAGGCTTCATTTACTCATCCTAATGTGTGTGCTTTATCCATGTTGTATATATCAATAGTTCGTTTTTGTTGGTTGCTGATTCCACGGTGTGATGGAATCCTATATAACATGAACATTGGTGGACACCTGAGCTGTTTCCTGTGTTGCCTATTATGACTTTTATATATATATATACACACACACACACACACACACACACACATACAGGTATACATATATATATATATGTACTTATATATATGTATACACACACATATATATATTGCAAAAGCCTCTTTGTGGGCACATGTTTTCAATTTCTTGGGTAAACAACTAGGAGTGGAATTTCTGGGTCATAGAGTTAGGTGTGTGCTTAATTTATAATAAATGGCTAGAGCTTTTCCCAAAGTGGTTGAACCACTTTATACTCCCCAACATTGTGTGAAGAGTTCCTCTTGCACCAACATGTCTTGTCTGTACCCCTGCCTTTTGATTTTTGCAGTGCGGAGTTGAGTAAAGAAATCATTCTTTACAATCATATGTATCAGCTAGGAGCCCTCCCCCCAACCCCACCCAGTAGTCAGTCCTCACCTCAGTTAAGGCCCTGCATCTGACAGCAGTCCCAGCTCCAGACACAATGCTGTCAGTGTCTCCAACAAAGACAGAGATCTGACTTTCAGGATACTTCCATTTCAAGAGAAAATGCAGTAATAATTGACATCATTTGATGAGCCCCTATTTATATAAATCATCTTTGCTAGCCTATTTGCATAAGTAATCTGTTTTACTTTGCATGCAGACGCTACAGTCAAAAACATTTGCGATTTAAAAATAAGGCCGCAGAGGCTAAACAAGGATTGGTTGGTAACTGCCAAGGTCAGTTAGTGATAGAGTTGGGATTTTAATGTAGTCCTGATACTGTGACCAGAAAATTTATAGTTTACAATGGTTCATGTTAATGCACTGACATTTCTAGAATAAATTGGATGATCTTTTTTAGTAGATCATAAATGCGAGTTGGCTTTGTACCATTACAATAAGAAATCAAGTACAACCCACCTGAAAATCTATAGCTATTCCAATTTAGTAAATTATCTTTATAGTGTCTATATCACCCTTGTCCTTACAAGATTGTTTAGATTGATGTCGTACAAGGTGGAGTAATATGAAGAATTTCCTTCATTGGCCATTTCACATTTCCCTGAATTGGGATTATTTTCACAGGTGAGTGTAGCTCCACCCTAAGCCAGACTTAATTTCCTAGAGAGAAGGGAATGATGATGGTGATGATAATGATGATAACTAAATATTGCAGGGCTATTAAATACCAGGTACTATT